TAATAAGATTTTTTCGAATAGATCAGTCCCTGGTCCACCTACCTTAAAAAAGTAAAATTTTTTAGTTTAAAACATGGTAGTTGCTGAAAGCTATTTATATAAAAAATTCCTTAAAATCGGACCAGCCGTTCGCGAGATTACCTGTTACAAAAAAAAGGGACTTCTCTTTATATAATTAGTATAGATGTATGTCATATAAATATATAAATTTGATGGTCAGAAAGGCGTTCTGTGCAAAAGGTGTTCAGCCCTCTTCTTCGGCAACACAGAAAGGAGAATTCTACTTAGTGAGCGTTATAATCCCAAAGTGCGGCCGAAGACCGCCTACGTAGAATGGTGTTCTCTGCAAAAGGTGTTCAGGTCCTCTTCTTCGGCAACACAGAAAGTAGAATCCTACTTTGTGAGGGTTATAATTAGAGTCCGACTGATTTATCGGCATCGGCCTTTTTTCGCCGATTCTTTGCCGATTATTTGGAATTTTTTTCGTAATTTCAGGTGAAGCGACAGACAACAGCCAACATCAAAAAAGATTTGCAGACAGCTCACAAAAATGAATTGTTGAAGGTGTTTCACGTTTTTCAAGTACAAAAGCATGTTCGACAATTTTCTTTTATATGGAGGACACTGCTAGCAAAAAAAATTGCCTACAATTAACGGGATTTTAAAATTCTGATTAAAAGTTTGAATCTTTGGAGAAAATAAGCAGAATTTTTCTAATTTTCGTACAAAGTTTGAAATCTGAATTGAATTGGTGTTTGTTGTATACCAGCTAGACTTTTATAAAAAAAATAATAAACAAAAGACAAATGCCAAATACCAAAACCAGACAAAATAGCATGATCATTTTATTTTGTGGACCACTATATGTATGTTCATCATAGTTGCCAACTTGGTGCTTTAAGCACTAGATTTAGTGCTTTTTGAAAATTAAAACGCCAAAAAAAATTATTTAGTGTCTAGTGCCATTTTTAGCGCTTTTTTCTGAACTAAAATTACTTCGAGATAGTTAAAACCTGAAATAATTTGAAATATTCAAGGCTGTGGCAGCACTGAATTTACAAGAAATTTAAATGGACTAAAATACAACCATGATTGATAAAATGCTGAAGTTGCAAACCCACCTTGTTAAATTCTATTCGCGTTGATAATGCTAGTACCCATGTAAGTTAAGTATTTCTTTTTTTCTTTTCTAATTATTTGTACAAATTTTGTTTTTTTTTACCACCTGAGTAAAACACTCGTTTCTTGGTGTTGGATTCAAATCTGGCCTCCCAATTGCTCTAGCAATAGAATTTTGAGATATCCTAACCTCAAAGTGCCAAAAACACGTTTTTTAGCGATATTTGAGGTTATATAATGAAAACATCAAATTACTTGCTCATTTCTACTTAGGGCATGATTTTCGTTTGTTGGGATTCGACTTTTCTTTCTCGAGATATACCAGTTTTAATGTGCAGTACTTCGGTATTATGTTAAGAAAAAAGCATCCCTTGATTCAAAAAAATTTGGTGCTTTTAGTGTGGTAAAACGTTTTTTTTTCCAAGTTTTTGGTTTATGGGTTGATTACGGAGGACAACCGAACTTCAGTTGGTTGCCCAGTGGCTGAAATGGTATTCCCGATGGCAACTAGCAACTAAAAGCTAACCACTAAGTTGCTGTATTGGCAACTGCATTCTTGTGGCTGCCGGGAAATTTTGATTGAGATACTTTATTTCTTTTTTCAACTTTTTTTTTTAAATTGTACCACCTTGAACTTTATGAAACTTAATTATTGCTATTCATAATAAAAAAACATTTTCATTTCAGTGGCGCTGTCCATCGGCAGCCCAACTGAGGTTCCGTTCCCATCCATAATAGATCCATAAGTCATAATCGTACGAAGGCTATCATAGAATCCATC